AAGAAATATTTCCATATTTTAGTTTAGCGAGTTATTAAGTAAAGACTTTAATTAATTTCTTTGTATTTTTTTTTTAATTTTATTTATCTTAGAAAATCTGAATTCGCTCTACAATAAATTCAAATACAAGAATTACCAGAAAAATGATTGATTTTTGATAAATTAGATTTGCTATTACATATGGTAATTGAAAAAACAACAATAGATGATATCAAGAAATTGAACTTCCAACAAATAGTTACTTTCCATGAACATATCACAAAAAATCGAGTTTATTTTAGAAATTCAGTATCTCAATAAATCAACGTTCTTATCGAATGTAACTTTTAGGATATTTTATGGATCATCAGATCAATTTATGCACCAAATTACAGGTCGAAATTTGATTAGTTGATTGTTCTGTAAATACTTGAAAGTGAATCGAAAAATTTAGTAAAACAGTCATATCAAACATTGTGCATAGTTTCGTCCTTAGAACTAACTAATTATCAAGATACCATTTTATGTTTGTTCTTTCATTCACTCTATCTAAAATAATTTTCTCTTCTATTTCGGGTAATTTTTAACTCGCTCAAGTTTTCCGAAACTTAATTTATGAGCCACTAAAAACTTGATTTTTGTTAGCTTTCAAATCATAATTTCTATAGTATTTCCAAACTCATATTCGATAAGTGCATAAAATTTCTGATTCTAATACAAGTTTTTTTCAATTTTGACTGATTATTTTTTGACTATCCGTGAGTATTTGAAATGAAATTTGGCTTTTTTTCTTCAATTTCCAATTGAAGTTGCTGGTTATGATTTCAGTTTCATAAGTGAAACATTTACTATTGTCAATGGATTGAGTGATAGAACCGGGTAAAGTCCTATCGGAATATTTGAACATTCACAAGATTTTTGTTATTCTTGTTAAACTTTTCCCACATTAGCCATAATTCTTTGAAAGATATTTTTGAGGTGTCATGTTTTTACATCATTAGATAAAAGTGGTATTCATCAATATGTAGAACCGGTAGTTGCTGTTTTAACACATATAAATGATTATCTATTTTTTAGTGAAATAATTGTGTATGCATTATGTTTACATGGATTGAACATTCGTCAACGATTCAATCGACAATATAAATTTATGTGACATTTCTTGTTTGTTGTATTTTTTTTTTTGTGTTTCGAGTCATACTTGTACACATAAAAACGCGAAATATGCAGATAAGCAAAGAATAATGAATGTAATTAAAAAAAATATGCATTGCACCGTAATATTATTTTATTGCAAACAAATACACTTTTCTTCTAGTTAAAAAAAAATTGAATATAATATTAATACACATTGTTTTTGTTTTAGTTCATAATACATACAAAATGACATCATCAGAACAATTGAAAAAAATTACAGTTATTGGTTCTGGTAATTGGGGAACTACAATGTAAGTTTTATTTTCATATTTGATTGAAATTCAGTCGTTTTTTTTTCGCTAAATAAAGTGCTATTCATATTGGTGAAAAAGTTCGTGAATTAAAAGATAAATATGATCAAAAACTTATGATGTGGTGTAAAGAAGAAACATTAGAAAATGGTAAAAAACTAACTGAAGTTATTAATGAACAACATGAAAATATTAAATATTTACCGCATGAAAGAATTCCTGATAATGTTGTTGCTGAACCGGATCTTTGTGCATCAGTTAAAGATGCTGATATACTTATATTTGTTATACCTCATCAATTTGTTAAAAAGACTTGCGCACAATTAAAAAATAAAATAAAACCTACTGCTTTTGCTGTAACATTAATTAAAGTAAGAAATAAAAAATTATAAGTTAATCGAAAAAATTTTCTTTTTTTATTTAGGGATTTTATCTTGATGAAGAAACCAAAGAACTTTTATTAGTTTCACAAGTAATTAAAAAAACATTAAACATTCATTGTCTTTGTCTAATGGGAGGTTTGTTAAATATGATTGTGAATTTTTTTTTTTCTAATTTAAATATTTTCTAGCTAATATTGCTCATGAAGTAGCTGAAAAAGTTTTTTGTGAAGCAACAGTCGGTTCACGTGATGATAATCATAGTGAAATCGTTCGAGAATTGATCGATACACCTAATTTTCGTTTACGTTTTTATCCTGATATTGAAATAATTGAAATTCTTGGCGGTTTAAAGAATGTCATAGCTATGTGTGCTGGTTTCGCCGATGGTTTAAATGTTGGTTTTAATACTCGAGCTGCTGTATGTTTGTTGATTTCTTTTTTTTTTTTATTTATTCATTTGTAGAAGAAATGAAATACGTTTTTCTTATTTGCTTTTTTTTTCTCATTTCAAGGTACTTCGATTAGGTTTTCGAGAAATGATCAATTTTTGTCGTTTACATGAAAAAGAATCTACAGCAGAAGTTTATTTAGAATCATGTGGTTTTGCTGATTTAATTGCATCATCATTAGGTGGAAGAAATTATAATGGAGCAAAAAAATTAGCTGAAACAAATAAATCATTAAAAGAAATTGAAAAAGAAGATCTTAATGGACAATCATTACAAGGTCCTGGAACTGCTAAAGAAGTTTATCGTCTACTTGAAGAAAAAAATTTATTAGATCAATTTCCTATATTTCGCGATGCTTATCTTATTTGTGAACAAAAAATTGAACCAAAAAAAATAATAGAAAATTTACCTAATCATCCAGAATTTAATCAAAAATAGAAGCCATCATATACAATATTTACTGTTTTATATAATTATAATCGAAAAGACTTTCTTTTATAATTTACTCTCATTAAAAGATTTGTCGTGTCATTTAATCAAGCTTTTTTTTTAAATACACTAGCACGTAACTAGTTACCAATAAAAGCCATTCATACTTTTACTCGTACATCGGTATTATAAATTAGTAAGATATGTTGTAGAACTTATTTAGCTAGTTAATTTTGTAGAAAAAAATATTTCTGCATCGTTTGAGACGTCTTCAGACCCAAACAAAAGTGCGAAATACTAAGGGCGTATAAAAAGACCGTTTTTTTCTAAATCAAGTGCTGAGCAGTGTATAATTTGTATACATCGGATGTTTTCATATGAAAGTCGGAAAGAGCTACCTTTTTGGATTTGAAGTAATCTAGTGATTCTCTACCGTTTGAGATAATTAAATTGAAGATCAAAATTCTAAAGGCGGCGATCTGCTTGATAAGCACCGTGACAGATGCTATCTTACACATTGTATGTTTCGCCTTATAGGGACGAAAGAAAAAAGTGCATCATTTTTGAAAGAAGTGCTATGCACTCAAATCCTTGAAGGGTTTTTTATTAGAGCACTATGTAGTATGTATAGATACAAATTCATTGAAATCCTAGAAGGTCACCTGGGCAGGTTCCCTTGTTACCTATCATTTTAAAAATGTCTGATCGAAAAAGTCTCCTACATTCCAAAGTATACAACAATTTATAGAGAAAGACAAAAATATTTGTTTTCTAATACCGATACCCATATCCACACCTACACCCCTATAATTGAATACACATCCTCACCCTCGAGAGGTATTGCATGCCGCTAGGTTAATTAATAAATGGCATACATATGAAAACATCAGTCATATATATATCGTTATATTTCATGATATTATTATTGTGAATGCTTGCGAGAAAGACATTCTAATATACTATATGAAGGAGAAAATTAGAGGATAGAAGAAAAAAAAGGATAACTTCGCATACAGCCGAGCAGCTAATATATTATGTGTGATGCGGCATGGATTCAACTTCTTGAGATTTTGATGAAGATGGAGCAGTTGAGTGTACTGATTCCGAATATACATCTTTGTTTCCGTCGAGAACTAATCTTTCAAAATTCCATTACCATGATATGATTGTTTATACTTTGTTAGCGCCAACAGATGACGCACATCGCCACCAAATATTGAATTATATATTATTGATTGTTTGATCCTCTCTTCATCTTGTTTTTTCAAGCATTACTAAGTCATGATTGATTTTCGATGCAAGTATTTTTATGGTGTTTTGCTTCCTTTTCTTTTGTTTTTTTTGTTGTTGATCTGCAACCTAATCATTACTTTGTTATTATCCACATTGCCATTATTATTTGATATTACTCTCGGTTTTATTTTTCTAAAAATAAAACAAGTCATAGAAAATCGTGATCGACTTGTCTTTCATTACAGAGTATTTTCATTATTGAGTAGATGTGTAAACATTGTTTTTACACAGTGAGCTATTATATGGATCATAGATTTTTGATTGTTGCTCTGTATATATTTTTCTTTCTGTTATCCGGTAATGATTGCAAAGACAGTGACGAAACTTCAACCAAAACTCAACTTCCATTTAAATTAACTTATATTCATAACGCACAAGTAAGAAAGTTGTCTTAAATCAGAAATAAACTTTACTAGTTTTTTTCCTTAGCCTCTTTTGGAATTAGGGATGTCACTTTCGCGTTTTCTTCCTTATAGTATGAAATGAGTAACACTCTAACATAAAAAGAGAATAGAACATGTGTAGAACTTTTAACATGACGAAACTTTACTGGGTTATGTAATATCGAATGTGTTGATCTTCTATGAAATACTGGATGATGTAAATGAATTACAAAGTAATTCAGAAAAAAATCAACTCTCGTATGATTCAGAAATCAGATTCCAAGAAAACAGGGATGCCAGGAATTTAATGGATCATCAGAGACTAGATTGAATAAATGCCTAATTCAAGTGCATTAACAGGAATTTCTCCGCGATCTTCTGTAGGATGAGCTCTAGAATGAAAACGCATACAATATCCCACTTGCAACTGATGCCACGAAAGACGGCCACACAGCATGATACCTGATGAGGGTGCCGTGGAAAGATGTCGAGTTCCGAAAATACGTGGGGTTATACATGATTCAATTGTGGGAATTGCTATTCGAAAAGGTTGGGGTGCTGAACATTTAGTTAGCGTAGGTGCCCCATCTTGAAAAGAATTCACCCTGAAATCGCTGCTAATTGACTCAAATCCAAAGTAATTAGTTCAGGCTTCTGATTATCCTCCGAATTCCTAGCGATTGATAATCTTAGTTTCGACATAGACGATAATTGATGTTTTTGAATTACCTAGTAATTCATTTACTCCATAGAATGACGTGAAATGAAAAGATGAAACAGGAACGCTGCGATCTCTATTGACTTCAATACGATATTTGATCCGAAACTATTGTGAACATTCTGAAGAAGAAACGTTCATAGATATTCATCTTATCGAAGGCTGAATGTCAGAAATTTTGCTTTTCAATATCTTTGTTCGAAAAGCTGTCTTGTTAAAATTTACTTATCAAAGGCAGCTGATAATATAATACTGTTTTTTTTGCGGAACTCACATGTTTTCGAAGAAAATAATGAGTGTAAGTTTTGAAGTCGGGTTTTTTAATCCCTCCTCTTCATTATAGACACCCAACAGATATATCATATAGGTAATTAATAACAGTTTCTTCTGAATACTTAACTTAAACAATAACTTCAATATGTTGGAAATCAGCGAAAAGAAACTCTTAATACTTTCTGTAATACTATTAAGTATTGATAAGAAAAAAAGCTTGTGTCCGCTCAACCTTGATCTACATTGTTTGGCTTTTACAGGTGACACATTTTGCAATTGAAAAAATTAAAAGCTGAAGATACTCTATTAAGTCAGCAGCTAAATGATGTGGACTATATGAGTTCTACATTTTAGCTCAATAGGGACTAAACTAATAAGCCTTTCTCATAATATATATAACATTTGATATTCTGCGGTTCTGAATTCGTTGAAGTTATTTTTGCGTCATTATTAATATAAAATGACTTCGACACGTATCACTGCATAGAATGTTTAGGTAATTTATCCTTCTCTTGTCGATGTCAATTCTTATGCTCTCGCAACCGTTCCATTGGACACTGTCTACATTGCTAAAAGTTCTCTTCCGAACGCTGTAAGTGACATATAAAAAAACAGTATTGCACAAGCAAAAATGAATAATTTATTTTCATAAGGGTCTAGGAGCGTTTGCTGCTCGTTTCATCGAACGTCTCAGTTATTTTGGTCCTTACGGTGGCTATAAACGCAACAATGACCTTATTCATGAAGCAAGCGGCTATGCTTGGAGAGTAAGAATGGAAACAGCTTGATACATCATCTTTTATGTTTGTATAGGTGCCAGATAAGTCGGGTAATGTAATGTATTATGTCGATGCATCTGAGCCCTACAACTCGAATTGGCTTCGATTTATTAATTGTCCAAACACGTTTAGTCAACAAAATCTCATTGCATTCGTGCGTAAGATGATATTCGTACATAATTTTCGATGAAACTAGTTATATAAAGTTCTTTGTATAGATCATGGTGACATTTTCTACCTAGCAGTTCGAAATATCGATGTCGGAGAGGAACTTTTAGTTTATTATGGGGATAATTACGGCAGAAAGCTTGGTATTGATACGACGCAGTTCCCTTAGCTTATATTTGAGACCATGGCGCAGTCAAACAACGTCATAAAAATTTATACTTACTGGAACCAAAAAGACTAGTATTCTGAGCTACATTTTTGATTAAAAGATGAAAGTATTTTTTATGCTTCTCTCAAAGTAAGTTGTAAATGTGGTTGTGATGATGTCAGAGTGTATGTAAATCAATAAACAAACACATCGATTTATCTCATGAGGAAAAGACGAATATAATCTGTCAGTCTCACATCATGCTTTTCAGCTATCGACGTAATCATGAAATCAAACTATAAAAGAATAATAATGATAAATGAATATACTTTGATTAAAACTATGAAAAATAAATGTAGAGTTAATTTTTCAGAAGCATTTTCTATTATTTATTGAAATATTGAAAAACATATCCGGTCTCTGCCTTAAAAGAAAAAGCATAAATAAAAAACAAAAAGTAAACAAGCAACAAAAACAAATGGAAAAAGGAAGTTGAATAACTAAGAGGTTGAATCATTAATAATTTGTTGGTAAGGGTGTGGGATAGGTGTGGGTGTGTCAGTGAACTTGAAAACGGAAAATATGAATACTCAGATCCACACTCACATTCACTCTATTATTGTGCATTATTAAACAAGAGATATCTGATGAAAAATCAGATAATGACATATGATGTACATATACTGGAGATCTGGTTGCCATTCACATAGGAGTAAGAAAATGAGGCTTTTTTTGTTTTGTTTTCATATTAGTGAAAGTAAATCTTTTGTTTATATATAAATGAACAGCAAAAAAAATATAAACTAATGTATCGATTTCTTCTTCGGCGATGTCTCTATTGTCTTGTAAATTACTTGTATCGAACATTTGTCAAATGCCATTGTTTATAACATATTCGATTATTGTGATGATTGTGTTATTTTCGATATATTCTCAATTCTTAATATACGTTTTAAACATTTAGTTCTTTATTTGATTATTACTAATTAAAATTTATCAAACCATATCGACAAATCAATTATGCTGTTTTCTATTGTAGGGTGTTCTTATAACTTATAATATCATGTACATGTACAACTTTTATACGATTATCTATGATCATGAAACATCATCTTACAATAGAGTAAGTTTCTATATGATCTTGTGAGAGCCGTACGTAGAAAATCCTATTCAATCTGACTTCGGATTTTTGAAATTTATACATTTAAATGTTATTACGTAGTCATCATTATTATTGAATACTAGAAAAACAAAAAGGTCTTTCTTCAATGCTTGATCATAAATAAATTATTAAAAAAAAAATATATTTTTTGAAAATATTCATTAGCTTTTCTTCAAGATCCATCTATTTATAATCGATGAATAAAATTCTCATGTAATTTTCATACTTACATATTTTTGTTAGACATGAATATATATATATATATATATACATATATACATAAATCATTTTTTACGTGCAAGGTAAATATTATTTCAAACAAACTTATATATTTCATTATATCCTATGATGGACTAATCAGCGTGTATGTTGTCTGCTATCATCTATCATTGATCTCACCGAACATACGTAATCTACATTCTTCTTTTTGATATCTTTCATCAGATTCATTTCAACAGCGTGATATCCGCTAGCAAAATAGTCGATCAATGATAAGAGGAAATAACATCCTTGTTGTTTCTTCATTGAAAAACCATGTCCTCAGAATGAATGTCTTTGTTTTTAAACTTATCGGTCTCAAACACATAAATTCTAGCAGTTCATACCCACGACTAAGTAGGAGAAAAGCTTGGTAATAATGAGAACGATATGCATTTTATTATGATTTCTCGATTCTTCTCTTTCTTTTGATGACGATGCATTCGTTTCGTTATTGGTATTTGATACAGACTCTTATCTTGTGCACTCTTGAAATGAAAGATAAGAAATTCTGTAGTAACAAATCGCACACACACTCATATAATAATCGACCAAAAAAACTGTCAACAAAAAGAAGAATTAAACCCTGTCTAAAGAGACGAACGATTTTCTTCACATCTTTTGCGTTCGACAAGTATTCATTTATTCATTGCTCTAACTTATTGTCATTCAATCACGACTATTTGTTTATAACTTACATTATGGATGAAAAGAAGGTAATATCCACATTCATCTACCATAGGGACGATATAAAAAGCGTTCACTTAGCAGATCTTTGCTCGAAATTCAATAGAATGTTTTAGTGTCATAGTTTTTGAAAAATTATGGAATTTTTCTTGCAAACGTTTGATGCTAACCAATGAATCCTCATTTTTTCACTGTGTCATTATAATGGATTGTATGATCTGAGTATCAGCATGAGTGGAATCAATACTCATATTTAAACTCACGCCCAGCCAGACTACCTATTTCAGTACTAACAAAACACAAGAATTGATAATTGAGATAGAAAAATAGTCGTCAAAGAAAATTTTCGTTTAAATAAAGAAGCTTCGTACTAGAATACAGGGTGTCCCATAAGTAACAAGACAAGGAAAAAAAGTTTGAATATCTCCATTAGGGCTCGACCAAATGGGCTCAATTTTTTATCAAAGATAGAGGTATCTGCACACCAGAGATGTCCATCGCGGCTGAAAATCTGCCGCTGCCGCGCCGCGGCCTTAGAAAAAAAAAGCTGCCGCACCGCAGCCGCGCCGCGACGGTTTATAAAAAAATGTTGCCGCGACGCTGCCGCGACGCGATGGCTTATAAAAAAAACGTTGCCGCGCCGCTGCCGCGATGAATTATAAAATAAATGTGCCGCCGCCGCGCCGCTGCCGCGGCGGTTTACAAAAAAGTGTTTCTAATTTCACTGCTGCGACTATATTTGACCAGAGATATTGGTACTAGACCATCAGATTCATTCAGTCTCGGGGTGTTTCATTTGTAAACCCTGAAATTCTATTAAATTCATGCAGTTTTTCAATGTTCCCCAAAAAAATCCTGCCGCTGCCGCGCCGCTGCCGCGCCGCTGCCGCGATGGTCTTTTAAAAAACCTGCCGCTACCGCGCCGCTGCCGCGATGATTTTTAAAAAATCTACCGCTACCGCGCCGCTGCCGCGGTGATTTTTTAAAAAACCTGCCGCTGCCGCTGCCGCCACAGGCCATCGCGGCAGCGCCGCGGCAGCGCCGCGGCAGCGCCGCGATGGACATCTCTGCTGCACACTCCAAATCCATACGAACAAGGTGAATGAGAACCTTTGTTAAGTATCACTATTGACCTCAACAATAAAATTTTTACTTTTTCACAGACAGGAAAATAAAAAAATATACTTAACAAAGGTCCTCACTAAGCTTGTCTGTATGGATTTGAAGTATAAGCATGCCTCTATTTTTGGTAAAAAAATCAGCTCGGTTGCTCGAGCCGTAATGGAAATATTTAATTTTCTTTTCGATAAAGTGACTTTTACACTATCCTGTATATTGGTTTTTTCTTACCAGTGACAAAGCAAAAATTTTATTGTTGAGGTCAATAGTGATACTTAACAAAGGTTCTCATTCACCTTGTTCCTATGGATTTGGAGTGTGCAGATGCCTCTATCTTTGATAAAAAATTGAGCCCATTTGGTCGAGCCCTAATGGAGATATTCAAAATTTTTTTCCTTGTCTTGTTACTTATGGGACACCCTGTAGCATTCATTCATTTGTGTTTTCAGGTTGCCTATAAATCACACATATAATTTGTTCACATTACATATAATCAATTAATCAATCAATATGGGTTGTAGTGCATCTGAAGTATCAAATTCTCTCAGTCAAAATCCCCAATATACAGTAACACCATTATCATCATCTTCTACTTTGAATCAGCAACCAAATTCAAATCGTCGTCCGAAAAGAGATTATCGAATTGATACAAATGAAATTATTCAAAATTTTCTTTTGATTTGGCTTGACGAAAACATCGATGAATCCAGCGACGATTATCTCAATTCTATCGAACAACTACGACGAACGATTAATACCATTGAAATATTTCATGATACAAATGAATGTATTGATTACATGTCACAAGTTCAAAACGAAAAGTCGTTCCTCATTATTTCGGGTGCTCTATGTGAAAGTGTTGTGTCACGTATTCATGACACCATACAACTACATTCTATTTATGTCTTTTGTCAAAAACAAGAAAAATATGAAGAATGGGCAAAAAATTGGTCTAAAGTAAAAGGTATTTTCACCGAAATTACCTCAGTTTGCGACGCAGTTCGACAATCTGCTCGACAATGTGACCAAGATGATATTGGAATTACTGGTGTATCGTCATTGAACCAAATCGAACCATCATTTATGTATACACAGCTCTTGAAAGAAATTATTCTTGAAATCGATTTCGATGAACAGAAAGAAATTAAAGATCTCGTCGAGTATGCTCGTAACGAAAAGGAGTATGTTAACAACAAAGAAGAATTGAAAATGATCGATGAATTTGCTACCGACTATCAAAAAAATGTCGACAAGAACAAGGCCATTCGGTGGTATAGTCGGCAATGTTTTACATATCAATTAGTCAACAAAGCTTTACGCTCTCTACATGTGCATACTCTCCTCAAAATGGGCTTTTTCATCCGTGACATTCATCAAAACATCGAGAAACTCCATGTAGAACAATCGAAAATAATCCATGAATCTACTACTACAAAACTTTCCGTCTTTCGAGGTCAAACTATGAGCAATGCAGATTTTCAAAAGAATATAAAACAAGATGGACTCGTATCCTTTAATAATTTTCTATCTACAAGTGAGGACCGCCGTGTTGCCATTAGTTTTATTTCTCCGACCACTAGCAACGAGAACAAAATTGGTGTTCTCTTCGAAATGGTTATTGATCGATCGATTTCATCGACCCCATTCGCTCGCATCAGTGAATTTAGTTGCTTTTCGAACGAAAAAGAGATTCTCTTCTCAACAAATACGGTTTTTCGCGTCCTAAAAATCGAACAAATACAAGAGAATAGAATGACCATATCGCAAGTTAAGCTTACACTCACTAATCAAAATGACGACAAACAGCTTAATGCTCTTACACAACGAATGCGAGAGGAGATCACTGGAACAGGATGGGAGCGAATGGGTTCATTGTTATGGAAACTAGGCGAGAACGACAAGGCAGAACAGGTGTATACAATGTTACTCGAAAAGGCATCTAATGAAAGTGACAAAGCGCATTGTTACCACAGACTTGGAATGATGAAAGATAACCTAGGAAAATACAATGAGGCCATCGAGTTTTATGAAAAAGCACACGATATCTATGAGAAAACTCTTCCTTCGAATCATCCCAAACTGGCTGGTTTTTTCAACAACATCGGTTTGGTGTATTCTAATATGGGCGAATACTCAAAAGCACTTTCATCGTACGAACGGTCACTTGATATCCAGAAAATCGCTCTCCCTTCGAATCATCCCGACTTGGCTGCTTCCTATAACAGCATCGGTAGCATGTATAAAACCATGGGCGAGTACTCGAAAGCACTTTCATCGTACGAACAATCACTTGAAATTAAAAAAAATGCTCTACCTTCGAATCATCCCGACTTGGCTACTTCCTACAACAACATCGGTAATGTATACTCTAACATGGGTGAGTACTCGAAAGCACTTTCATCCTACGAACGATCACTTGATATCCAGAAAATTGCTCTTCCTTCGAATCATATCGACTTAGCTGCTTCCTACAACAATATCGGTAATGTGTATAAAAACATGGGCGAGTACTTGAAAGCACTTTCATCACATGAAAGATCACTTGAAATCCGGACAATAGCTCTTCCTCCGAATCATCCTGACTTGGCTGGCTCTTACAACAACATTGCTAGTGTATATTATACCATGGGCGAGTATTCAAAAGCACTCCTATATCTCGAAAGAACACTTGGTATTTTCGAAAAATCACTCCCTCCAAATCATCCACATATTGCCACAGTGATAGGCAGCATTGACAAAGTGAAAAAGAAAATGTAATTTTTTTTAAACGAGAAAATAAAATGGCCTTCTTGGACACTTGACTCGCCGAAACACACCAACTGCAAACTTTCACGCACACGCAACCAGAATACCCCTTCATATTCCGTTGGATTGTACAGTGGACAAAGCTGGCAATGGTAGACAAACATACATCTATGTATGTATGATTAGTGCATACATGATCGTCATCGTCTCAATAAAGAGGCAATGATGAAGAGATGAACCCTTTATTCATACATACATAGATGTATGTTATGCAGGACTTCCATCAGCGCGTTTGTACAGGTTACCAATAGAACGTCGGATATCCCTGAGGAAATTACTTTGATTTAGAGCTGCTCTCTAAACTCCGTTTGTTGAGTTTTTTTTTTCTTCTGTTACGAAGAACGAGAAGAAGCAAAAATGGAAAGACGCGAGAAGAACGACGTCGACGATAGGGATAGATAATACGCAGTGCACGATAATAACCGGTGTGTTTCAAACAATGAAAAAACGAGCACACAATATCTTATCTATTAGTACACATATTGTCTTCGTTTTCATTGTATTGTTTCAAATGGCTTTGTACGAATAGTTCTAGGTCGTG